TTTATTTGAGACAGAGAGAATGAGAGAGAGAGAGCACATGAGAGGGGGGAGGGTCAGAGGGAGAAGCAGACTCCCTGCCGAGCAGGGAGCCCGTTGCGGGACTCGATCCAGGGACTCCAGGATCATGACCTGAGCCGAAGGCAGTCGCTTAACCGACTGAGCCACCCAGGCGCCCTGGTAGAGTTTTTATGTGAAAACGTACCCATTGTTAAAATTTTTAGTGTTCTATCTAAGAAGATCTTTGTAATTGAGACATTTGAGGAGGTCAGCATTAATATTGTGGGACACACAGAAGGCACGAGTCAGACAGAAAGAGGGGTTCAGACCTTTGCTGTGCACCCAGGTGACTATGTGATCTTCATCAGGTTCCTCTTTAAACCTCAGTACCCTCATCTGTCAAGTGGGGTTAAGGTTAGTAGATGTGAGAATTAAATGAGATAATGCATATGGAGCCTAGCCCCATGCCAGCTACATTGTGTGTATTTGCAGCTCTGAGGATTCCAAGTGGCACTTGAAATCATTCATTCATACATGTATTGTACAGAATTGTTCCAGGAGAAGCTTTTAATGATCAAATTGTTATTTACATAGATCTGATTTGTTAACTTTTTCCTTCTTTTCCAAGTAAATTCCACCTTGTATAAATATGTTTCACATACAAAAAATAATACATTGAAGTGGAAACAGTTGGACATTTATAAGATAAAGTTTGCCTGTGAAAGCCTCATACTGAAGACCTGGTCTAACCTTTGGCTTCATAGCTTAGTGGGGTACATAGGAAACTTTGAAATGTGTCCTGGTAGTCCCTAATTTTAGTTTCGGGTGGAATTTTTCATCTTTCATCAATTTCAGTTTTCCTAGAAACATCATTGCTTTGAAACCTCTACAGAAATAAGTGAAACTTTTCAGTCTTCTCCATTACAAAACTTTGGCAGCAAATTTGATTTTACCTGATTTTAGAAATCTCTCCCCACCCCCCACCCCCCCACCTTTTGAGTAAGCTCTACGCCCAGTGTGGGGCTCAAACTCACAACCCTGAGACCAAGAGGAGTTGAATGCTCCACCAACTGAGCCAGCCAGGCACCCCT